CAGATCCGCGCGGGGAGGGCGCGGGAAGGGCCGGCCCCGCCGCTTCTCACGACCCGGCCGGGGCGACCTCGCCGCTCCTCACCTGCGTGCGAGACACCCGGCCAGGACCCCCCAGGCCTGGGACGCGGCTCCCAGCACGCCGGCCTCCACCCCACCAGCCTGTTCCCACAGCCTCCAACAGCATCTCAGGTGTCTGCAAAAATGTCACCTCCTCGGGGAGGCCTTCCCTGACCACCCTGGAGGCAGAAACCCCGTCCCAGCCCCTCTGAGGCACATCCCACGTCAACATCTTCGTAACGTAAGACTCTGAAACCGCCTTAATGATCTTTCTTTTCTTTTAGAGACAGAGCCTCGCTCTGTTGTCCAGACTGGTCTCGAACCCTTGGCCTCAAGTGATCCTCTTGCCTCACGCCTGGAATTACAGGCGTGAGCCACAGCTCCCGGCCTTAATTTTCTTTGACTGTTTTCTGCATAATGTAAATTCCATGGTAGTGAGGTCCCATTTTCTGGCTTGTTCCCCTGTGTCCCCAGGGCTCAGGGTTATACCTGGCCTACACTAAGTGTTAGAGAAGAAAACAATCGTGAGTCAAGGTGACGCATGACTGTAATCCTAGCTTTTTGGGAGACTGAGACAGGAGGATCACTTGGGCCCAGGAGTTCAAGACCCTATCTCAAAGAAAAAAGAAAAAAAGACCAGGCACGGTGGCTCAAGCACTTTGGGAGGCCGAGGCAAGAGGACTGCCTGAGTCCAGGCGTTCGAGACCAGCCTGGGCAACTTGGTGAGACCTAGTCTCTGCAATAAATAAAAAAATGAGCCGGATGTGGCAGCATGTGCCTGTAGTTTCAGCTACTTGGAAGGCTGAGGTGGAAGGATTGCTTGAGCCCAGCAGGTGGAGGCTGCAGTGGCCATGAACGTGCCACTGCACTCCAGCCTGGGCAACAGAGTGATACTCCAACTGAAAAAGAAAAGAAAAGAAACTAATAAAAAAGAAAAAACCAACAGTGGCAATAATGTTAATCATAACTGATTCATGGTGTACTGTGTATCAACCTGTTTTAAGTCCCTTACATAATTATTATTTTTTTTTTTGTCAAGGTCTCATTCTTCACTCAGGCTGGTGTGCAGTGGCACGATCACAGCTCACCACAGCCTCCACCTTCTGAGTTCAAGCAATCCTTCCGCCTCAGCCTCTCGAGTAGCTGGGACTACAGGTGCACACCACCACACCTGGCTAATTTTTTGGTTTTGTTTTTGTAGAGACAAGGTCTCACTATGCTGTCCAGGCTGGTCTTGAACCCCTGGGCTCAAATAATCCCTCTGCCTTGGCCTCCCAAAGTGCTGAGATGACAGGATTACCATGTTTGGCCTCCTTACATCAATTATCTCCTTGAGTCCTCAGAGCAATCCTATGAGGCAGAGTCTGTTATTGTTCCCACATTCCAGAAGTGGAAGCCGAGGCCTAGAGTGACTAAGGGATTTGCCCAAAGTTGCACAGCTGGGAAGCTGCAGTGCTGGGAGGGAAACCCGAGACATCTGACTGCCAAGCATGTGACCCACTGGGAAAGCAGCTGCCCAGGGGCTGCAGGTGTTCCTCAGTCCTGTCCCCAGACCCACCGTGGTCCCCACAGCTCACACACGGCAGGCTCAGCCCCGTGTCCTCCCCTCCCCCAGGCTGCAAGGAGGTGTGGGAACCCCGCGGGCCAGGGTTTACTCTCCTCACCCCCGCTGCGGGTCTACACGGCATCTCCCGGGCTGCCCTGGTGGGCTCCAGAGATTAAAAGCCGGTTGGGAAGGCCCAGGGGCCACTCACCAGACAGCAGGGTCGACTGCCCAGGACCCTGAGCCCAGTCCCAGACGGACAGACGGACAGGTGCCCCGACACACGGCCAGGCAGATGCCCCTCGAGCGGCTGACCGCTCTCCTGTGCCTGCTCGGCTCTGCCTGGCTGCCCACGGCCTCTGAGAGGCCCGGCCCCCCCCAGGCCGCCCCACCTCGCTCCTGGGCTGCAGCCAATGAGACCTGGGCCCCGAGCCCAGGGGCCCCAGACCCCCTGGTGCCAGCCCCTGCCCGGGGCAGCTGGAAGGCCTTCTTGGGCCTGCAGAGAACCAGGCGAGTGGGAGTGCCTGCCGCCATGTCCCTGCCGCTGGACCCACAGGAAGTAACCCGTGAGGTGTGTAAGGCCGTGCCCTTCACACAGGTGAGCCGTGGGGGCCGGGGGAGGAGAGGGCTGGGCTGGCATTCGCAGAGAGCACAGGCGAGGCCCTAGGCAGATTCTGGTTCAAGTCTGCGCCTCTGCCTAATCATCTCTGTGCCTCAGTTTCCTCCCTTGTAAAATAGAGCAGAAGCCTCTCTTCCTGAGCAGCAGCAAGTCTGGTTTTCCATTCAGCGCCAGAGGGCGCCTGTGAACCCGAGTGGAGTCGAGTTCCTTCTTCCCTGGGGACCCTCCCTGGCTCCTACCTCACTCAGAACAAAAGCCCAAGTCCTCCCCGCAATGTCTGCACTCCCTGAGCCTGGGATCACCCTGATTTCACTCCCTCTCCCCCTCCCCCTCACTTCATTCCTGCACCAGCCTCTTGCTTTTCCTCAGACATGCTAACTTTCTATCTACCCCAGGACCTTTGCCCGGTCTTGCCTTTCTGCCTCACTTGTTCTTCCTCCAGACAGACAACCTATGTCCCTTTCTCTCACCTCCTGCAGATCTCTACTCAAATGTCATATGTTTAAAAAGGTGGCAGCTCCCACTGCACCCACCTTTGCTTGCATTGTATCTCTCTGTAGTACATATTGCTGTCTTTCAGTATGACATTTATTTAGTTATTTATTTGAGTCAGGGTCTCACTCTATTGCCCAGACTGGAGTGCAGTGACATGATCATGGCTGACCACAGCCTCGACCTCCTGGGCCTCAGCCTCCCAAGTAACTGGGCCTAGAGGGGCACACCACCGTGCCTGGCTAATTTTTTAAAATTTTTTTGTTGAGGTGGGGGTCTTGCGATGTTGCCCAGTCAAGTGTCAAACTCCTGGGCTCACGCAAGCCTCCTGTCAGCCTCCCAAAGCACTGGGATTACAGGCCTGAGCCACTGTGCCTGGCTAAGATCCTGTCTCTCTCTTTTTTTTTTTTTTTTTTGAGTTGGAGTCTCACTCTGTCGCCCAGGCTGGAGGG